CGCACCACCCGAAGGTGAGGCATTTGGCCCGGAGCAGGTTCTAGAACAGCGAGACGGGTGGAGAAGTTGACCCACAGCTCAGTTGCTGCACCTGCTCCAGGGAGCAAGCGCTCCACCCTTCCCGTGGCGTGGGGGTGAAACCTTGAGCCGCATTATGTGTGGTGGTGGTGCGGTGCGAAGGTTTCTTGAGTGAGTGAGTGAGTGAGTGAGTGAGTGAGTGAGTGAGTGGATCAATGAATCAATGAATGAATGAATGAATGCGTCTCGCATCGCAGTCCCAGAACTCGGCAGTGATGGTGGAAGTGCAAGCGTTTTGTAATTTGCGGCGTAGAAACCTGAGAGTTGTGATACACCCCACCCCCACCCTCGAGCTGTGAAAGGAAAGGGATGAGGCTTGACGTTGGGAGCAGCAACTTCAGGCTTTTGTGGGAAAGTAGGTGAATTACCGGGGTTGGGGATCAGAGGGCTGAAAGAGAACCAACTCTGGGATATTATAGAGTTTTTTAAAAACGTTTTCAAGGGGCGGATGTAGTCGAGCCTGTCTTTTAAGAGTCATTCTTGCTTGTCTCTTGACTTTTTTGAAGAACTGATCTTGTTCATTACAGCGCTCCTTTAATATCTTCAAAAAATTTTGGCCGACGTCTTAGGACTTACTCAAAAGCGGTCGCGCGTCCGCGCGCTCCTCTCTTTCTCTCTCCTGCCTCTCTCTTCTCTCTCTTTCTCTCTCTCACCCTCCCCCCACCCTTATCTTACTCTTCCCTCCCTCTCCCTCCCTTCTTCACTCCTTTCTTCCCTCTCTATCCCCCTCCTCTGTTATTAACATATTGGGCTGTTTGTCCTACAGATTCTGTTTAAGTTTTGGGGAAAACTACAGAAATTTAAACTGTGGTGCCGAAGTAAAAGAATTTTCAAGATAAAAAGGACCACAATCCTCAGAAATCTGTCTTGAGCCTGCCCTTCTTAATGGTGGGAGAATGAGATTAAAGCAGCAGCAAAGATAAAGGGAAACAAATTCCACAGTTGTGTGGCTGGACCCCTGCACCCGACCCCTGCTCTGTAAGCAGCAATGATGGATATCAAAGGCGATTTAGGTCTTCAACCTTGCTTGGGGAGATGGGACTAAATACACTATCCACGTATTTGGGGAGCCCAGGGTTTTGCCACTTCTTCCACCACTTCGAACAGTGAAATGAAGTGTCTACATTGATAAATCAAGGTTTCATTTTTGTGCAAAAAAAAATAAATGTGAATAAAGGGGGGAGGAGGATGCCACAAAAGTAAGAACGGACTCACAAGTTGCACCGGGCCCTGTTGTACTTCACCTGAAATCCCAGGAGTCAAATATCTCTCACCCTAGTTAATGCTGGGTTTGATGGTCTGCAAACATGATCCATTAAACCTGCCAAGTTCAACTTATACTCACAGGGAATCAGATCAATAAGCAATAGCCAGACATGGCTACAACATAATTATTTTGTTGAACTCTCTTCCGTACAGCAGAAATTAAAGAAATGCAATGTAGGGTTAGAGAAGTTTGTGAAGCCGAGCACCTCAGAGTTTAATTTCGTGAACTTTGAATGGGAAGAGTACAAATTGCAGAGCTCTGCAACTGAAAATGCTTCCAGAAACCTGTGTGTCATGCCGTGTTCAAAGGCCTGATCTGTTTCATTGCCAATGGTTCCACTCTATAACCTCATCACTGAGGGACAGAATGGCACTCAGAAGAGCCCCAAGCCACCTACTGAGGATAGTAGCTCCACTAAGCTTACTGAATAAGATCCATTCACCTCCCCTCCCAGACTGGTAACAGGAGAAAACAGCTGTTAGACCCTGGCCGCTGGAAAGGAGGGAATTCATACATCTCCAACTTGTTCTATATCCTTTCAGTTCCATAATTTTTTTTTTTTTTTTTTTTTTTTTTGGTTTTTCGAGACAGGGTTTCTCTGTGTAGCTTTGTAGCCTGTCCTGGCACTCGCTCTGGAGACCAGACTGGCCTCGAACTCACAGAGATCCGCCTGCCTCTGCCTCAAGTGCTGGGATTAAAGGCGTGCGCCACCAAGGCCCAGCCAGTTCCATAAATTTATTGCCTGATAATCAATAGGAGAAATACATCAGTTAAATCAGATTTCAAAAACAGTAAATTAGAACCAAACACTTATTTTGGCTAACGGTTCTTTCCCTGGCTCATCAGTTTATCAAAGATCTGCCTGCTGTGTTAAAGTGTGACAAATGGATATCTGTGTTTCATAACTTCCCTTGAAAGTGAGCTTATATGAGAAACTAATCAATGTTTTATTATCCCACACCAGTAGTTTCTACTGTCAAAGATTACCTAACCTAGCTTATCTGGCAAAATCTCTAAAATGCCACTATATATCAGTTCATTTTAAGCATTTTTGTGAAATAGACTTTAAACATATAAGGCAGTTGTATGCTATGAGTAATTATCAAAGAAACTACCCTGTAAGCAGTCAACCAAGCCAATCAGTGGAGTTTTGCTAATCCTCCAAAAGCCCTAATGACCTTCCTAAACACAACTCTCCCTCCTGGAAGTTACTGTTATTCTGACCTTTATGGTAATCATTTCCTTGCTTTTCTTTATTGTTTTATCACAGGTGTTCATCCCTAAGCATTACATTGTTTAGTTTTTCCCTTTCTTGTGAATGGTATATAAATGAGATAATATGTAACCTGTTATGCTTACCATATTTGCTCAACTGCTGTCTGTAATCCATATGTTGTTCAGGTTGTTTAGAGCTACAGTTTGTTCCCTTTCATTGCTGTCTATACAAGTGTTTCATTGTAACAATATGTAACAATTTGTTTAGCCATTTTGTTGTTGATCAAAGTCTGGGTTCATTTTGAGCTATAAATGCTGTTGCAGATAATTCCTTAAATCTGTATTCTGTCATCTACATCAGTTTTTGTGTGATCTGTACTTGAGAGTGTATATCATAAACATGAGTAAATAATGTCACACAGACTTCTAACAGGATACAGTCACATTAGCTACATATGAGTGTCATTGCTCCAGACCTCATTTCAGTTTTAACTTCCATTTCCCCAATTACTGACTGTGTTGAGAACCTTTCATAGATCCACTATTGTATTAGTCGGGGTCCTCTCTAAGAACAGAATTTATAGAAAGGTGATTTGTTAGAATGGTTTACAGACTGTGCTCCAGCTAATACAACAATGGCTGTCTTACCTAAGAAAGGGACAAGAAGCTGGGCATTGGTGGCGCATGCCTTTAATCGCCCCCCCCCAGGAGGGGGGGGCAGGGGCAGGCGGATATCTGTGAGTTTGAGGCCAGCCTGGCTTATAGAGTGACTTCCAGGACAGCCAGAACTGTTTCACAGAGAAACCCTGTCTTGAAAAGAAAAAAAAGAAAGGGACAAGAATCCAGTTGTTGAGTCCATGAGGACAGATGCCTCAGCTTTTTCAATATACATCAGAATGCCAAAGAAGTGGACTCTAATGCCAGTGAAGGTTGGACTTGCTAGCAAGAGTGAGAGCAAGTAGGCAAAAGGAACAAGCTTCCTTCTTTTGTGTCTTTCATCTAGACTGCCAGCAGCAGGTGTGGCCCAGATGAAGGTGGATCTTCCCACCTCAGAAGATCTGGATTAAAAGTGGGTCTTCCATTCGAGGCCAGCCTGATCTCCAGAGCGAGTGCCAGGATAGGCTCCAAAGCTACACAGAGAAACCCTATCTCGGAAAAAAAAAAAAAAAAAAGTGGGTCTTCCCCTTCAAATGATTTAATTATGCAAAAATATCCCACACAGGTATACCTAGCCACTGGGTTTTAGTTAATTCCAGATGTAGACAAGTTGACATCCAAGAATTGCCATCACATCTATATTGATAGCAATTGGATTCTTTATCATTCTAATGTGTAATCTCTGAAATGCCCACAATTCCAGTGTCTTTTAGTAGTTCATATTTGAACACCAAGATCAGGGTACAGAAATGCCACCAAATGAATGATGTTTGGGAGAGATTCTTTTTGTTTGGTTTTTGGGGGAACAGGTCGAGATAGGGTTTCCCTGTCCTGGAACTCTGTAGACCAGACTGACCTCCATATGGGGGTTGGGGGAATGGAGGGGTACAGAGGCTTTCTAAAAGAATTTAGCTTACCTAATTACTTTATGAATTGATCATGAACTTTAAAGTAGGGTACACACACACACACACATATATTCCTTCCAAAACAATGTTTTTTCAATTATTAAAAATGTGAAGTCTTGGGGCTGGAGAGATGGCTCAGAGGTTAAGAGCACTGACTGCTTGCTCTTCCATAGGTCCTGAGTTCAATTCCCAGCAACCACATGGTGTGCAGATATACATGGAAGTAGAATGTTGTATACATAGTAAATAAATAAAATCTTTAAAAAAAATGTAGAAGTCTTCATTGTATTATAGTTTTCCTCAGTTCATAAAGGCATTGTTAAAGCTCTCACAGACAATTGTAAGAAATTGTTTTCCCACCAGATCTTTTGTATTTTTAATTTCCTTCGTTCATTGATTTTATAAAAGTCACAATGGCTTATTTTTTCCTCCTACAGCCCCTACTAAAATATGTGGAATTATTTTTATAATTTTAATCAGTAATTCCATATATACTGTGACATACCAACCAGTATATTACATTTGACTGTTATTATTTCTTATTGAAGCTCTTTCTTAAGACTTCGTGATGTTTTAAAACAGGAGGAAGCTGAGGCCTTGAGAAATGAAGTGATTTACCCAAGAGTCTGAAAAGCAAGTAAATAGCAAAGCTAGCTCCACCCCAAGTCTTCAAAAAAAGACCATTCTATCACATTGATTCAGTATTCTGGAGCAATAAAGCAAAGTGATACTCAAGATGTGTAGAATATCGTTCAGTCACATGTAGCAAAGCTCTGACTTGAGTAAGTTTCCTTCTGGCCTAAGTGTTTGGCGATCCATAAAATACGAGGAGGACTCCCTGGGAAGGAGAAAGGTCTAGGAAGAGAATGAGAAAAGATATTGGGAGGGGGGTGTAATCAGTGTGTTACGTTTGAAGTAGTGGACAGTTACATTTTACATGAGTGATATTTTAAGATTAATAATGCTTAAGATGGATTAAATAATAGGAAACTTGCTTTTAAAATGAAATGTTTTCTTCCCTGTCCTTTGACTTAGAACCAATCCATTATATTTCCTGATAACAATGAAATCAACCCAAGGACCCTGCAGACTGACAGCATCTCTGGGTTGCTTTTATTTGGATCTCAGTCCCTAGGATGTACACAGTAGGAAAGACCATTCACAAGTCGCCCTCTCTAGCCTCTGGGCACACGCGCACGCACGCGCACACACACACCCAGCCCATTTTAATATTTTCAAACAAAACTTCTCCCCTCCATTTGTGTTGTTTATAGCCTAATGCCTAGAATATGACAGAGTGAATAGTGGCCCTCGCTACTACCTTTTAAAACTGTTGATTAATCTGCACTTGGTAAGCAGAGACAGGTGGATCTCTGATTTCAAGGTCAGCCTGGTCTACGAAGTGAGGTCCAAGACAGCCAAGGCTACACAGAGAAACCCTGTCTCAAAAAACAAACAAAAACTTGTTGATTAGGCAAAGATTTATAGAAATGTTTGGGTTTTTTTTTTTTTAATTGATGTCAGTTTCTCAAACTGCAAAGAGCAGAGTAATATGTCTTCATACATTGCCCACCTAGTTCAGCCATTACCAATTTGCTCTGTTTGCTTTCTGGACAATTTGACAAGTTTGTAGGCATTCTGACAGTTCAATCCTTGAATTGCTTCAGCCGGAAGTACTCAGGAAGAGGATACACCTGTACCTAACCCTAACCTTTGACCCTCCCTAAAAAAGGTAACAAAAAAAATCCATGTCTAACTTCCGTTCACATTTAATTTTTCCATCCTAATATTACTTCCCATTACTTACCACCCACCCTCGGTCCAGTCAGGTCTCACACAAAGCATTCTTCAATTGTGTTTTCTTAGAGAAACTAAAACTGTGCTGTCCAGTAATACAGGAATTACCTTCTGCCTTACAGCTTGTTCAAGTCTTTTGAGCATTTTGAATTTTTGGTGAAAGATTATCTGTTTTCTTTAGTAGATTTGTACTTATCTGTGACATTTAAAGCAGCTTTAGATGTTTAGCAGTTGAGAGGAGCTACTAAATTACTCAGCACCCCTATTTTCTGAAAGGAATCTGTACATTTCTTGGACACTGCTTCCTTCTACCTCTTAACAGCATGCTTTCCCTGGAAGACCCAGATCGTCCTTCTAGGCACACCTTAGTACTTCCTCCTCTGTCCTTGAATTGTCCTTCCTTCCTAGCACCCTTTAAAGAGCACCATCTAACTCCATAGTTCTTTGGGTGGCCAGAGAAAAATCTACAACTGATTCCCTTTGACTATGTTCCTTTATCCTTTACCAGGAAGCTTGCCACCCCCAACCCACCAGCACCATCTGCCACATTGAATTACCGTAGTTACCTGATCCGTGGAAAAGGAAAGGAAATAACTTTTATCAATGCTAATTCTCAAAAGTCTCACAAAGCAGGCAAAGAGCCTACATTTCCCAGCCTCCTTTGCAGTTAAACGGGGTCTTGCACAGTTAACCTTGCTGATGAGATATGGGCAGAAGTAATACGTATCACTAACAACTTCATCCCTGAAAGCCTTCTCATGAAATAGTTGGTGATTTCTGCCTGACTATAATGGCAGGAACAAAAAGCATTCAGATAGTACACCACATGATGGCAGGAACCAGACTCTACCATTGTTTGCTTGTGTGCTACCATTGAGCTCAGATACTGTCTGAGCAAGTTTCATATCAGGCCTGCACTTCAAGACATAAATCTAGCTTAGTTAGATTGGGCTACATTGTGATCTAATATGAAAATGCTATCCGCTTATGTGGTGATAGTTTTACAGAACCATGAGTTTGGAATTCTAATTTAAACTATAAAAGAACTCGTAGACAAGACTCAGGAGGCAAGGCTGTGGAATCTGGAGTTTGATGCCAACCTGGGTTACATAGTGAGACCCTGCCTTTAAAAACCATGAAAAGGCTGGCTCTTCTGTAAACTAGAAGTCATGTTGGGTCAGCTTTCTTTTAGGTAGATGCTTGCTGAAGGTTTGTTTTTCAACAAACAGGTTTCCATTGGCACTCCAGGATTAGCATCTCCCTCTCCAGCCAAAAAAAAAGTCAGGCTCTACTATTTTACATGGAGAGTATCACATGAAAAGTTCCATGCCAGCTGTCTGCACCATAGCTGGCATCCCCAAACTGTTCCAACACTGGCACATGAGCCAGACACTACTGTTCTTTCACTTCTACCCAGCAGCCTTTTAGATTTGGAGTTAATTGGTAGAAGAACCTACTTAGAACATAAGAAACATCTTCTAAATCCACATCAGAGTCTGGGAGATACGTGGTTCAGTGACTAAAACATTGGCTATGCAATCGTGGGGACCAGAGTTTAAATTTCCAAAACCTATGTAAGAATGTTAGGTATGGCAGCCCACCTGCAATTCTAATTCTAAAGGTGGAGAGTAGATTCCTGGACCAAGCTAACTAGCCAAACTAGTCATATTGGCAAGCGCTGGGTTCAATTGAAAAACCATACCTCCTTGAAGAAGGTGAAGAATGATAAAGAAAACTCATGTCAACCTTGAGCCGCCACAGCTATGTATAAACCCACACTTGCAAACATGCAAACACACACACACACACACACACACACACACACACACACACCAAAAATGAGGGAGGGGGGATCCACATCAGATACAATTTTCCTACAACTGTTGCCCAACTGCTAATTGAGGAATTTCTCAGCAACTATATCTCATTGTATCTTCTTCTGATGACACTACATTTATTGCTCTAACCCTCACATACTCCTCAAACGTCCCCA